TAACCCTGGTCTCTCATTGTCTGCATCTCTTGGTGACTTCAACAGAAATGAAGGATAAAGCCACAGGCTCCTCCTCCCTCCTCCACGGTGAAGTCACACTTGAAGATGGAGAACTTGACTAGTTTGGGCCCTAGAATTTTCTACATAAGAAGAGCTTAGGCATGATTATCTGTGAGGGCAGTGTGAGACTTCTCTTGAAAATGTTTGCCTAAGAAGAACATAATTTTCATCAGATGGCACATTTATTGAGGTGGCTTGGGGATGAGAGGCAGGTAAAGAGTCATGAAGACAGAGCCCCCCAGGCTGCCTGCACTAGCACTGCCATTGATGGGTAGTTTCTGGAAATGGGAGAAAGATTCTTAGGAGTCATCAGAGTCTTGGAAAGTCAGTCTCACTGGACTCACAGAGCCCCAGGCAGTGGAGGTGTTTTCATTTCACAGAGAAATTTGCATGTGTTCTGAAGTGGATTTCATCAGTCCTGACCTCTGGGTCTTTGAGAGAAATGGTAAACCCTCTGAACATGCTCACTCAGACACTGAGAGACAGTGCAGCCTGGAGCATTGTCACTGTTTGGTTCTCTCCTCGTCTAGGCCAAGGCTGCTGGCGATGATGAGGCCATGTTCATAGATGAAAACTTCTGCACCGCCCTGGAGTACGGGCTGCCCCCCACCGCTGGCTGGGGCATGGGCATCGACCGCGTCACCATGTTTCTCACAGACTCCAATAACATCAAGGTAAACAGCCGCCCTCTACAGCACACACTGTCCTGAAGGAGCGCCACTCTGGTGAGGGGGCGCACGGTGGGCCAGGAGAATAAAGATAGAGCTTTGGGCTGGAAGGAGGACAGGCAGAGGAGTGACATGCAACTTCAAAGGAGGAGGATCAGAGCATCTTGACCTTATAGGGTCTGGGGTTTTCCTTGGCCTGAGGCAGAAGGAATACTAATTGTTTGCATTTCCTAAGGACCTAAGGAACGTGCTAGGCCTTCTACATGCCTTATCTCATTTAATTTGTCAGCCCCATGAGGTACAGACACTGTCATTACCCGATTTTTATAGACGAGGAAATCATATTTGAAGAGAACGTCTGTATTTATTTTTCTGACATCGTGCTCTAAGCAGTGCTGTGCTTTTGTCCTTTCCCATCCTCTGTCATTCAGAGGGACTGAGTTGAAATAAAAGAACAGATCTTTGGATTTTGGTCATAACAAGAACCAGAGGCAAAAGGAATGGGTGGATAGCTGTGGAAAAATTGAGTCCCTCTTAGCTTCAAAATGCGTTTTCTCTCCTGTAGGAAGTACTTCTGTTTCCTGCCATGAAACCCGAAGACAAGAAGGAGAAGGAGAATGTAGCAACCACTGACACATTGGAAAGCACAACAGCTGGCACTTCTGTCTAGAAAACAATCATTGCAAGTCATATAACTCAGGCATCTTTGCATTTCTGCAAAAGATCCCTGCAAGGGAATTCTTGTGTGTTTCTATCCATTGACTATCACAGTGCAGGTCAGCAACCAGAGGAGAGAAGAGGAATTAAGATTTCCTTTTTATTCCTTGTTACCAAATAAACCATTTGTCTCTATTCTTTGTCCCATCACTCTTTTTACCTTTGGAATGTCAACTTTTTCTCAGATAGCCTAAAAAATGTTTAGGATTATACCACTTTATTCATTCGACAAATTTATATTAATGTGTGCTCTGTGCCAGGCATTGTCCTAAGGGATTGGGGACACAGCAGTGAACAAAAGCCAAATCCCTGCTCTCCTCCTGAAACTTAAATTCCTTCTTTGGGGGCAGGAGGGTGAGGGGCAACCAGACAAACAAGAAATAAGTAAATACATATTATATCCGGTAATGGTACATACTAAGAAGAAAAAGCAGGATGAGGGGACAGGAGCTCTTGCAGGAAGAGGTGGATGAGGGGACAGTGCTATTTTAAATATATGATCAGGGAAGACCTCTTCTGGGTGACATTTAAGTAAAGATCTGAGGGAAAAGGGTGATCCAGGCTAGAGGACTGCATTTGTGAGGAACAGCAAAGGGTCTAGTATGGCCAGGGGGGGACTAAAGGTCAGTGAGGGGCCTGGTCACACAGGCCCCTGTAAGCCATGCAGAGGAGTGTATATTTTATTATGAGTGAGATGGGAAGCCATTGGTGGGTTTTGAGCAGAGTTTTTTTTTTAAAGATTGTCCTAGTTAGCATGTGGAGGGCAACAGTGAAAACGGGGAGACCAATTACGCTGTTGCAGTTGGCTAGGGAGAGATGACGGCTTAGACTTGAGTGGTTTAAACTGATGGAGATGGTTACAAGTCTTTGGACTTTGCCAGTGTTCCTGAGGTCAACAGAATTTGCTGATGACGTCTGGGTTGGGAGAAAAAGCAGTAAAAAATGATTTAAAGGTTTGGGGCTGGAGCAACTGAAAAGTACAGTTGTCATTTACCAAGATGGAAAAAACTGAGGAAGTGAAGGTTTGAGAGGGAAGGTGGGTTGTTTGGTTTTGAACATACTAAATTTGACATGCCTCTTAGACACAGTGGGAATAGTAAGTAGGATGTTGAATAGCCTGGAGTTTCCTCATCTTCAGCTCAGTTTGACTAGGCTGAGAATAACATGGGTATGGCTGAGGGCCTGCTGTTACAGGGGAGCACCTGATCCCTGACACAGGGAGGCAGCTGGGGGAACCTTCCTATGAGTCATCCAACAAAGGACTTGTCTTTTGCGCTTCAGCAAAACATCTGCAAGCGTCCCAGTTCGGGTGTTGCCAGTCTACTTTGACAGAGCAGCTTTCTGCTGCTGTAGCTGGGGAAAGGATCTAAGCGTGCCAAATTATCTAACTGGGAACTGCTTCAGAGAATGTTGAGCGTCTCCACCCCTTGCTGGTGTTTCAGCATGCACTCCAGGAGCACTTGGCAGTGGTGGTAGATGACCAGGTGGTTTTTCAAAAGAAACACTTCCATATGGCACATCCTTCAGCAAGGTGATGTTACTAAAATGAAAACAATCCTCTCACCAGGGGAGAGGGAATAGGGTCAAGATAAGGGACTGAACTTCAAGCAACACTGTACTGTCAATGTGGACCATTGAAAAGGCAACGAGGATTAATGAGGTCACAGGTGACCTCTAAATAGCTGTTTAGTAGAAGAGGACAGAAGCCAGCTGTCTGGCCTCAAGGAGGCTGGAGATACAGATGAACTAGAGCAGCAGTAGACAACTTTGTGGGATTTGGCGGGAAAAACGACAAAGAGGATGAAAGCTAAAAGGAAAAGGATTATAAAGTCCTCATTGCCTCAAAGAGTTGAAGGCTCCTAATTTGCTAACTGCCGTCCTGGGGCGAACAGAAAGGCATGTTCCCAACTTCATCAAGCTTCTAGACTTGTATGGAAAATAGATATTTAATAAATTACTCAAAACACTATAAAATGGCAGCTCTGGTAAATGCTTTGAAGGAGATGTCCATGGGATTATTGAGAAACCGTAACAGACCTAGTTAAGGAAGTTTCTCTGAGGACATTAGATCTGAGACCTGAAGGAAGATAGAGCACTAACTAGTCAAAGAAGGGGAGGAAGGGCTTCCCATGTGTGGCAAAGAGTACAAAGGCCCTGAGGTAGGAAAGAGCACAGAGAAGGCCAGTGACACTAGGGTACAGAAACCCAAAGAAATATGACAGCATTTGAGGCAGGAGGGGGCTGGTCACACAGAGCTGTGAGCCTTGCTATGGGATTTTGTATTTTAAGAGTGCTAGGAAGCCACTATTTAAGCAGGGGCATGACATCATATTTGTGTTTTGAAAACATCAGTCTGGCTACTCTGTGAAAAAGTATTTGAGTTGGGTAAGAAAAAGTGAAAGTCCAGAGGTTAGCATAGCAATCCAAGAGGGAGATGATAGCGGCTGGGACTAGGGTGTTGCAGTGGAAGTGGAGAGAAGCGGATGGATTCAAGAGACAGGAAGTAAGAGCAACAGGACTTGGTAACATATTGTGGGGGTTAAGGGAAGGGAAATGACTAGGAAGGTGACTCATTGTTTAGTTTATGCAACTTGACTGATGGTGGTATCAATTCCTGAGATAACCTTGGAAGAGGTTAATTCCTCCACCAGGATTACTGCTTCTTTAAAGACAGAAGAGGGAGTCAGCTGCAGATTAAAGATGTTAGGAATGAGGAGCAGGGTTCTTAGGCTTGAGGAGGGCTTTGGCTCTTTTCCTCTGAACTAGAGAGAAGTATGAGGTCAAGTAAGCTGCACTTCTGTCTCCTCTAACTTTTGAGGAGTAACAAAAGTGAATTCTCTCATCTTTAGCAATTGAGGTATACAATTGCTGGATAGTATAGGCTCCTGAACTATCCAGACTGCTATATTACCTATTTCTAGCAGTCTTAAGGTTTTAGACCCACGCTGTCCAACACGGTAGCCACTAGGCGCACGGAGCTATTGAGGAGTTAAATAAAATATATGATTAAAAATAATTTCACCTATTTCTTTTGACTTTTTAAAATGTAGCTATTAGAAAATTTTAAACTACATATCTGGCTCAAATTATATTTCTATTGGATAGCGCTGTTTTAGACAGAAGCTCATACTAGTAAAACACATCATTCTATTTGAATCATATCTTACCTGGGAGTCAGCTTGCACCCACCCTTTTCACCGGTGCCCAGGTACAGCGCGGGAGGCTGCATGACCGCAAGCAGCCGCATCACCCCCGGCTACGCCCCCTGAAGGACTACAACAGCCAGCGTGCACTGCGCGCCTCTGGGGGCGGTGCCTGGAAGATCGGCCTCCTTGACGTCACGTCCGCTTCGAGCGCGGGTTCTGCTCGCTTCCTCCGAGGGAGCACGTTGTAGAGGTGGGAGGGGTGCGTCCGTGAGGCGGTGGGGTCGCGGGGCCTAGGGGCCGCAAGTGAGGGAGGCCTGGGAATCCTGGGAGGGATGCCCTCTGTCTGACTTTCCTGAGCCCGATTTGTATAGGAAGAGGTTGTGAGGACGGCGCCTCTCCCAGGTGTGTCCCGTGGGAAAGTGCCACTCCTTCCGTGGAAACGCCAATATGCGCCGCGTGGAGCGCTCTCGCCGCGGGCGTGTGGTCCTCGCTCACCTGTACCCTGCCGAGCGGGCCCCACCCCCGGCCTCTGGAGCCGGCACGCTGCTGTGCTGCGGAGGGTATGATGCGGGCGCCTGAGCGAAGTAGGCTCACCTTCCGACACCGCTAAAGCGTTTTCTCCCCGGGCAGCCGACCTCCCTTAACTTTCCTTGAAAAAGAAGTGTGTCCTTAAGCTTTTCGCAACTGTTACAGCGTGCGATCTTGTGGGCAAAGGAATGCCTGTTTCACTGAACTCTTGTTGCATATGAAGTTATTCAAGATCTAAGAGATTTGAGTTTTAGTGGACCCAGCATAGCAAAACATTCATTTCAACTATTGTGCACGCTCTTCCAGACTCAGCTACGGGAATGAGGTGATGATACAGTTCTGGGCTGCCTCGTCTTAGGGAGGCACCGTTTATTATGGCAAGTTCTGTCTTCCTTGGCTGTTATGGTCTGTGATGTGTGCCTCTGGTTTAATTTCAGGTTGGTGCCACAGTATCTGCCTTCATACAATATACTGCCTTGTGATGCCCCCCTAGAAATGAGATAGAGATCCCTTGCAAACGGAGGATTCAAGGAGGATTCCAGGATCTCCCTCCCCTGCTTTTCTTTTGCTCCAAGAGACTCAAGACGTATGCTGGTTCTCTGACTTTAAAGTCACGGTTTATGTTAGTTCCTGCCAGATTCTTGTTTTAAATCACTGTGGTCTGATTTGCCATGACCATTTATTGCAATAACAATTATTGCACGTCAGAACTGTTAAAAGATAAACTGAGGCATATTAAGATTTTGTAAAGAGTTTGTTTGAGCATAAATCGATTCCAATCGGGCAGCACCAAACCTGAAGTGGCTAGGAGCTCTCCGGAGATAGGAGCCAGGAGAAAGACAGAGAAAGTGCAGAAGCAAGGAAGGAAATTACTTAATTGGCTATAGTTTGAAGCCTAGTTGTCTGGCTGTGACTGGTTGTCCTTAGCATTTTGATTTTGTAACCTTGAGGCATTTACAAGTTTCCATCTTGGTTTGCTTACATAGGTGGCCAAGGCTTTAGAGCCACATCAGTCTGATGACGTCTTTGCTTAATTAATTTAACACAGTGCAGGGGGCTCATTGTAGAAATACCAGTTTTCAGAAGTTACATGCATTGGGGCTCAGTAAAGCCTTTGTGTTTTAAACATCTAGCTATATCCATCACCATATGATCTCATTTTCTACTAAGAAGCTTTTTATACATTTGAGTCGAAATGAGGTCATTGAGCGAACATCAGTAGAGTCTAGAGAGAGAATTTCTAACAAAGTATCCTAGGCCACTTTTGGATCTGATCTGCTTAGTGGTTTTTTATTCATGGCTTTCCGTGCCCATTACAGTCCCCCTGCCCCCCAAGGAGCTCAAGGGAAATCAACCAGGAAAATCAAATGTTCTTTTCTGTAATATTAATCATAGTTGACATTATGCTCAACATTGTAGCAATTGCTTTTTAATAAATATTATTTAATCCTCACAGTAGGCCCATGAATTAAATACTACTGTTATCCGTGTTTTAACAGATGAAGAAACAGACACAGAGAGATTGAGTAATCTACACAATATCACACAGTTAATCTGTAGCAAAGCCAGGATTAGAACCCAGAAAGGGTAACTCCAAAACCCACACTCTTCAGCACAGCTCCTTTGAGGAGAAGACATGACTGGTGAAAAACTTCTGGGCTCTGTCGCTTCTCCCCTCTGTGTCATAAAACGTTATAGCAGAAATTAAAGGGTTGCCTTCCTGATGGGGGCATCAGTGGAGATTTACTAGAAGGAAATAAAGAACCAATCTGGTGTTGGGGAGAGAGAAGAGTAAAACATCTGGAAAAGAGGGTGGAAAAGAACATCTACCTGGAAAGATAATCCTTGTGTGCGGAGAGTCTGCCCAAGGCCAGCTGAGGTCTGCAGCCCTGTAGGTGCTATTTCCAAATGAAAAGTAGAGTAGCAAGGATGCTTCCCTCTCATGTGCTTTCGTTTTGAGTGGTAGGTTCAGATTCATTAGAAACATGTCAGATATCCAACATTAAAAACAAACAAACAAACAGAAAAACAGCTTGAAGAAATAGGGTATCTTCTGAGGTTGGTGAGATTTGGGACTTCTTTGATCTTAAAGATGAAAAGGGGGCAGGGAGGTAGTAAGAGAAAATGACCCCCAGAGTTCCAGATAGAGAAACCTCAGTGTGAACACAGTTGGGCTGTATCTGAAAGCCTGGTGAAGCACTGGCACAAAGTTGTAGCATCTTGCACTGGTTCTCCTTTGTGTACTTCTGATGGTTGTGGTTTTTGATCAGGGCCTCAGCAGCAGCTCAAACCATGTGGACCGCAGATGAGATTGCACGGCTGTGTTACGAGCACTATGGGCTCAGGCTGCCCAAGCAAGGGAAACCTGAGCCCAACCGTGAGTGGACCTTACTAGCAGCCATGGTGAAGATACAGCCTGCAGCTGACCAGGCCTGCAACTCTCCTGACAAACCAGCACAAGGTAAGACGTTCCGTCCTTGGAACACTCCTGCTTCCTGTCAAAGATGGTAGAATTATACATGGCTGTGCAGGGACAGTCGTGGCCAGGTGTAAACTGCAATGTTGGGCATGTTCCCCTGCTCTCCGCCAGGTGGCGCAGTACTTCTGGTGCCGAGAGAGATGGCCAGGCTGGACCTGCGGTTCTCACTTGGGTCAGCCCATGGGCATGCTCTGGAGGAATGTGCAGACTTATTAAAGCTGAGGACTGGGGAATGTGCAGATTCTGAAAGCTCACTTAACGATTCGTTCTTTTCCCCTCAGTGACGAAGGAAGTTGTCTCAATGGGAACAGGAACGAAATGCATAGGCCAGTCCAAAATGAGGAAGAGTGGTAAGCCCAGATGGGGTCTAAACATTGTCTGTCTAGGGAACTTTAGGAACTGGTGTCCACGGTGCCCTTTCCTCTCCACCTCAGGACAGTGGGGCCATATTGCTGAGGTGGCTGACCTTTCTATTCCCACTGACTGTCGCTCCAGTTGGAAAGACAGAATTCTTTTAAAGAATGGAAATAAATTGTGGAAACAAAGGCCGCCAGGAACATGCTTTCTGAGTGGATTGAAAGTTGGCCAGTATTTTCATGCTCAAGCTGGAAGTTCCCTGGGCTTAGCTCTTCCACATTATATCTGAAGCCCCAGAAAGCAGCCTTGAGTTAAATGGAGATTTTTGCACCAAAAAGAAAATGGAAATCCCTTAGAGATTTGGCATCTTCACGTCTTCCTGGAGTTTGCTTCCTCTGTTATCCTAGCCTTGCCTCCTGTATATGAGGGAGCTCTTCTGGGACACTATGGACTGAATTTGGTGGAATTGTATCACCATGAACACATACTAGGGTACAAAAGATCTCCAGATAAAGACTCCGCTATAAATCAGTAGTTCTCAGCTAGGGGAGATTTTACCCCCCAGGTGACATTTGGCAATATCTGGAGATATTTTTAGTTGTCACAACTCAGGGGAGGGGAGTATGCTGCTGGCCTCTAGTGAGAAGAGGCCAGGAATGCTGCTAAACATCCTACAATGCACAGGACAGACCCCCACCACAAAGAATTTTCCAACCCAAAATGTCAATAGTGCTAAGTTAAGGAAACCCTGCTGTAAATGCTCTGCCTTTAAAGATTGTGATGCTTTCTGGCAATGCCCTCCAGGAGCTACATGGCTGTCCTGGGTGCTGGGGCAACTGCTTTGTTCTGCTGCGAGGAACCAGGGCCTCTTGAGGTTCCATATGTCTTCACTAGTGTCCTGTCTTTGCTGCAGGAGACATCCTCAATGATAGCCATGCTGAGATCATAGCCAGAAGGAGTTTCCAAAGGTAAAGCCACATCCCCAGAGAATCTGATTTAGCCTGGGGTGGGGACCCCAGAATTTGCATTTCTGATAAGCTCCCAAGTAATACTGATGATGTCGCCCTGTCACCTACACTTTGAATAGCACTGGTCTAGACAGTGGTTCTCATGCTTGAGTGCATGTCAGAATCACCTAGAGGGTTTGCTAAAACCCAGATTACTAGGCCCACTCCCAGAGATTATGATTCAGCAGGTCCAGGGTGGAGTGGGAGAAGCTGCACATTTCTAACAAATTCTCGATGTTCAAGGACCACACTTGGAGAATCACTGGTCTAGATCATTCTCATAATTCCAAATCACCAGTCTGCAGTAACTGTTTCTTTCTTATCACCCAGGCAGAGTCTCCCTTTACTACAGAGATTGGTTGTTCCTTCTAAATCCTGCCCCCATTAGGTACCTTCTCCATCAGCTCCACTTAGCAGCCGCCCTGAAGGAGGATAGCATCTTTGTCCCAGGAACTCGGAGAGGACTGTGGAAACTCAGACCAGACCTCTTGTTTGTGTTTTTCTCCAGCCATACACCCTGTAAGTATATTCAAGCCTTTGGATTAATGGTACATTGTCTACTTCCTTATGTTTGTCTTATCCATAGATAAAAAGATAAAAGATAAAAGGCACTTCCTGCTGAAGTGTAGCTACAACTGATGACAATGCCTTTCTATGAACAGGCCAGCGTGCCTAACCACTTCTCTACCAAGGAAAGGTGAGGGGGCAGGGAGAGCCTCACTCATACCATTATTCAGTTCTCAGTTCCCACTCAGGACTGGGAAGCTTAAAGATAAAACCCCACAAGTTCTGAAACCAAGAATAGGGCTTAGAAGTCCAAAGCCCTGAGTTCTGTAGGAATTTATCTTGAAACCTATTTCATTCATTCAACAAATATTTTCTATTTGTCAGGCACATGCTGGGTATATAGCAATGAATAAGACAAGCCCCTTGCTTACCTTCATAGAGCCTTTTAGGGAATGTAGACAGTCATGGTTAGTTAAAGTAAATTTTGATGAGTTTTAAGTGGCTGTTCGGATGCTGTGGTTGCATTAGGCAGGAAGACCAGGCCTAAACTGGGGGATCATTTTTATCCACTGTTTTTCTGTCTTGGAAATTGAGAAGAATTTCTACCCTTTGTAGACAACAGCTCAGGGATGGCAGTAAAATCTCCTCACCCTAAAACCTTTGAAAGAAGGATATAAGATAGTCCTGTGAGTATTAAACTTTAATACATGCAATTAGAACAGAGATAGGTAATCACTGTAATGAGACAGAATAGCTGTCAAGACTTGATCATAACTCAAATCAAAAATGTAATATTTTTGAGAGAGTAAGTCTATCAGAAAAGAGTGGGTTAAGAGTCAAAGGTGAGGGGCCGGCCCAGTGGCACAGCGGTTAAATGCGCACATTCCACTTCGGCGTCCTGGGGTTCACCAGTTCAAATTCCGGGTGTGGACCTGGTACCGCTTGACAAGCCATGCTGTGGTAGGCATCCCACATAGAAAGTAGAGGAAGATAGGCACGGATGTTAGCTCAGGGCCAGTCTTCCTCAGCAAAAAGAGGAGTATTGGCAGCAGATGTTAGCTCAGGGCTAATCTTCCTCAAAGAAAAAAAAGAGTCAAAGGTCAGAAAAATGACATAGATAGGCAGGGCTCATCCATGCTCTGTTCTTAGCAGTGGGTGCCCTAGTCCAAGGACCAAAGGACATTTCCTAACTCAGTGCTTCTCAAACTGTAATATGCATATGAATCACCGAGGGATGTTGCTGAAATGCAGATTCAAATTCAGTGGGTCTAGGGTGGAACCTACGGTTCTGCGTTTCTGACCAACTCTAGTGATGTCAGTGGTGCTGGTCTGTGGACCGCACTTTAAGTAGCCAAGGCCTGGCTGATCCCAGTGGCAGATGTAGCCTTATTGTGAAAACAGATGCATCTGAGGACCACTGCTAGCCTGACTACCTATTCAAACTACATAAACAGTGGTCCACAGGCTCGTACTGCCCTGCGAGAGCGTACAGGTCCATGGCCAGGTGAGAATAATCAGGACTATGCAGTGAGTTCTTCAAAAAGCTAATATCTTTCCATGAAAAGGTTAGAGATTTTTATCTTTTTTTTAATAATAGTAGTTAGGATTTTTAAAGATCTTACTTGATGGAATAAAAAGTTGACACCCTTCTGTTGATCTTAAAATCTTCTGGAAATTTTACTGGTCCATGAAATCAAAATCTAGAGCCAGTGATCTAACTCCCCGGGCTCATGGGTAATCTTTTAAAATGTGCTGTCCACATGATTTGTCTGCAGGAAGAAAGAACACTACCTAAAGAATGTGACTATCTGTCTCCCTTGGCATTTATTCCTCATTACTAATTGATAATTTAGTGCCTGGGTTAGTTACTTCAGACTCTTACTTGTGAGTTTTATTAGCATGAGTCAGCTTCTCGAGTTCAAGCATCCGTCAAGATCAAATCTCCAAGCCTCCAGAGTGGGAGGTGGGCCCCAGTGAGTTCTCCAAAGGTCCTGTCACCTTGTGAGGTCCCTGAAAGTCTGCCAGCCGGCCTCTCTGGCAACACTCCCACTTCTACATCTCCTGCCTTTCCCACTCTTAGGTTATAAAGACTACAGATGTATTATTTACACACTTTAGAAAAGCGACACACATGAGGTTAGTATTTGAAGAAGTAGCTCCCTTCTCAAGGGGAAGCTGTGTGTTTTACTGACCTCTGGTTTTCTTTGATTCCCTGTAAGCACAGAGTAGGTCAGAAATCTCTAAACCAGCACGGGGACACACCAGTTCTGTAATTTATTGCAAAGTCTTTACTGTGAGGATATGCACAAAATTTCCAAGATGAGGACATTGTGAGCATTGTTTGCCAAATTTACTTAACCATGAAATCAACCACCCACTTTTGTTTTCCAAGACATCTTATGGCATAACAGTCCACGAAATGCACTTGGGAAACCATGCTTATTCTAAACCAGTGGTTCTCAACTCAGGATGATTTTGCTCCCCAAGGGACATTTGGCAACATCTGGAGACATTTTTCATGGTCAGACTTGGGGGTGCTGTTGGTATCTAGTAGGTGGAGACCAGGGATGCTGCTAACCATCCTATAATATACAGGACAGCCCCCACAGCAAAGAATTATCTGGACCAAAATGTCAATAATGTGGAGGTTGAGAAACCCTGGTCTAAACTGATGTTTCGAAAACTTCCTATGATAAGAATTATCTAGGCTCTGTTAAAATATTCTGTTTTCTAGACCCCCTCCCCACCCCAGCGAGTCTAACTCACTGGGTCTAGGATAGGGTTTTCAACAAGAACCCTGGATTCTTATTGGGATTCTTATTAGGGAAATTTGGGCAAGTGTTCTTTATTCGTCTCAGGTCAGCTGGGAGAATAGAATTAAACTTTGTTTAAGGCAGTGGTTCTCAAACTTGAGCTTGCATCAGAATCAGCTGGAGAGCTTGTTAAAACACAGACTGTTGGGTACCACTTCCAGAGTTTCTGATTCAGTAGATCAACTGGGGGTCCCAAGAATTTGCATTTCTAACAAGTTCCTAAAGAATGCTGATATGGCTGGTCCAGGAGCTCACTTTGAGAACCAGTGGTTTAAGGCGTTCCTTCTCCTGCAGGTGGAGATGCCTCCATTATTCCGATGCTTGAGTTTGAAGATCAGCCTTGCTGTCCTGTCAGTAGAAATTGGGCCAATAACCCATCAGTAAAAGCCAGTGGTAACCTGGAAGCTCCTGAAGATAAAAGGAAATGTGAAGACCCGGACAGTTCTGTGACCAAAAAGATGAGGCTTGAGCCTGGGACTCCAGATGGTGTGGCTCACCATCAGAGTTTTGGCAATCAGGAAAGCAGCCCAGACCCGCCAAGTGTCAGCAGATGTAATCTCACCACAGAGGAACTGGCCACTGTCACTGGAATGGCCCCCAGTGGTGCCAAAGTGGTAGACGTTTACAGAACGGGAGCCAAGTGTGTGCCCGGAGAAGCTGGAGACTCGGGAAAGCCTGGTGCTGCATATCACCAGGTAGGGCTGCTCCGAGTGAAGCCAGGCCGGGGAGACAGGACTTCCTCCATGTCCTGCAGTGACAAATTGGCACGGTGGAATGTCCTCGGATGCCAAGGGGCACTGTTGATGCACTTCCTAGAGGAGCCCATCTACCTGTCGGCTGTGGTCATTGGGAAGTGCCCATACAGCCAGGAGGCCATGCAGAGAGCACTGACTGGGAGGTGAGACGGCAGGGTGGGAGGGCTCAATTGGAACAGCCTTCCCAGGAGGCAGTCTGAGGGTATGTCCAAAGAGCCTTAAAAATATCCATACGTTTTGATCCAGCAGTTCCACTGCTAGAAGTTTGGCCCAGGGAAATAATTTTAAAAAGTGCTCAAACATTTAGCTTTGTGTGTAGTCATTTTAAAAGGAGAAAAAGGAAACAACTGAAATGGCCAGCAGTAGATTTTTCCTAAAAATAATATTGATGAATATTTAATATGAAAAGATGCTCATGATGTTTAAAGAGCAACTTAGAAGGTAAAATGAGCTCATTTTGGTCTTAAAGTATGTATGCACATAGAAAAAAATTGTAGGAGGATATACACCAAGGTATCGGTATGATTCCCTCTGAGTTGTGGTATTATGGGTGGTTTTATCTTCTTAATGATTGTTATATTTTCTAATTTTCCTACAGTGTAAATATATTGCTATTATAATTTTTAAAAACCTTCTAACATTAGTTTTAATTTTTAAAAAGATAAAAGACAAAAGATGACCACTCAAGCGTGGTCTCCCTAAAGAAGGCAGCCAACCCTGATTAATGCTGCAGTAACTGAGAGTAGGTGAAGCCATGGGCAGGGGAAGGGGCCCATGTCAAATACACCACTCCTGAAGCCAACTCCAGGAAGCAGCCCCAGGATAATATTCAGTAATTCCACTGCTGGGTACATACCCAAGAGAAATGAAAACATGCATCCACGTGAAAACTTGCAAGTGAATGTTTATGGCAGCGTTAGTCATAATAGCCAAAAAGTGAAACAACCAAAACATCCATCAGCTGGTGAGTAGATAAACAAAAGGTGGTAGATCCATACAATGGAATATTACTCACCCACAAAAAGGAAGGATGTGGATGTAGCATGGATACATGCTACAGCATGGGTGAACCTTGAAACCATTATGCTAAGTGAAAGAAGCTACGTATAAATTATGATTTCATGTCATGAAATGTCCAAAATGGGGAAATCCATAGTGACAGAAAGATTAGTGGTTGCCAGGAGCTGGAGAGTGACTGCTGATTAGGTGTGGGGTGTCTTTTTGGGGTGATGAAAATGTTATAAACTTAGATGGTGGTGATGGTTGCAAAATTCTATGAATATGCTAAAAAACCATTGAATGACACACTTTAAATGGGTGAATTTTATGCTATATAAACTGTATCTCAATAAAGATATTAGGGGGGAAAAAGGCACTGTCCCTAAAACGTTTTCTGTGTTTTCCCAGTTCTGAGACTTTCCGTTGCTGTGTGTTTAGTTCCAGACCAGCATCATGTTGGCATCTAGTTTGTGTGAAAGATACAAGAGAAAGAAAGGAAGTTTTAACACTATAAGATAATTTTGGTTTCTGGTGTGTTTGAAGGATTCCCTAGGAAGCAGGTGCCTACAAAGTAATATTTCTGCTTAAGATTTTCAAATCTTTCCAAGCTGGTATCGGAATGAAGTTTAGTGTTATTGAAATCACTGATGGATGGTGACTCAATTCATGGAGTTCTCTCTTCAGAGTGGTGGGAAGGGATCTTCCTCCAGCCATAGGTTTCTAGGATCTAGATTCTATTCTGTCACGCCCTCCTGGAACCCCTCTAATAAATAAAGAAAGAAAGAAATCTACACACCTCCTAAGGCCTTTGCCTCCCACTGAGACTCAGCAGCAGTAATGTGATGGACAGTCCTAGATACTCTTTCTCTAGGAGTGCTCCTTACTGAATGCAATTTCCCTCACATTCAGGTGTCACAACATCTCGGCTTTACCCAAAGGCTTTGCAGTTCAAGAAGTGAAAATACAGCAGTCAGGTTTACTGTTTGAACAGAGCCGCTGCGCAGTGCAGGTGAAAAGAGCTGACGGCCCAGGCCGACTTGTTCCTTGTGGGGCAGGTAAGGGATCCAGGTTCCCGGGGAGTAGCTCGTCCCCGGACTGTGGAGTGGCCGGGAGAGGCTGCATGCTCCCAGCCTCGGGAGGCACTTTACCACTTGACTGGTCAATAGTGTGGGCTTGGGAGACATCCACACTAGGTCAAGTTCATGCTCTATGTGACCCTGGGCAACTTACTTACCCTCTCTTGACCTCTGTTTCTTCATCTTCAGATAAGTCTATCGTTTATTTGTCAGGGTTGTTATGAGGTTTAAATGAGAAATTCTGTTTCATGCGTTCACTCTGTGTCCAGCATATAATAAATATTCAGTGAGTGTTAACTATGATGATGAATCCTGAATCACTTTATATTATTGTACTCTGGAGGCCAAGGGTCAGAGTGGCAATCCTGGTTTCTGACGTCATATCCAGCTCTCATGGGTCTGCAGGGGCAGGGAAATATCTTTATTAAAACATCTCTGGCATTTACAGAAAACTGAACAGTTTTAACCCCAGAATCTTATCTTTTCATAGCCATCAGCTGGAGTGCAGTTCCTGAGCAGCCATTAGATGTCACTGCCAATGGCTTTCCGCAGGGAACAACAAAGAAAGGAATCCAAAGCCTTCAGGCCAGGTACAGCATATTGGGGCAGAAGGAGATGTTGGCTGCGCACTCACGTCTCACCACTGTCTAATTCCAGGATATCTTCATCACCCCAAAAAGAAAATCCTGTACCCATAGCTGTCACTGCCCACTCCTCCCTCTCCCTCCCTAATTTACTTTCTATCTCCATGGATTTATCTATGTTGGACATTTCATATAAATGGAATCATATAATATGTGGCCTTCTGAATAATGAATTATGCTGCTATGAACATCTGTATACAAGCTTTTGGGTGATCATATGTTTTCAGTTCTCTTGGGTGTGCCCAAGCAGAATTGCTGAGTCACATGATAATCTTATGTTTAACTTTTGGAGGAACTGCCAGTTTTGATTAGCATCTGCACTATTTTAAACTCCCACTAGCAATGTATGAAAGTTTAAATGACCTTATATCCTTTACAACACTTACTATTGTCTATCTTTTTTATTGTAGCCATTCTAGTGGGTGTGAAGTGCTGTCTCACTGGGGTTTTGATTTTCATTTCCTAAAAACTAAAGTTGCTGAGCATCTTTTCATATACTTATTAGCCCTTTGTATATCTTCTTTTTGGTGAGGTATAATTGACATACAACATTATGTTAGTTTCAGGTGTACAACATAGTGATTGGATATTTGTGCATATTGTGAAATGATCACCACAATAAGTCTAGTTAACATCCATCACTGTACATAGTTACAGAATTTTTTGTCCTTGTGATGAGAACTTTTAGGACTTATTCTCTTAGAAATTTTCAGATATTTTATATTATTAACTATAGTCACCATGCTGTACATTATATCCCCATGCTTTATTTATTTGATAACTGGAAGTTTGTACCTTTTGACTCCTTTTACCCATTTGCACCCCCACCCCCCACCTCTGGCAACCACCAGTCTGTTCTCTGTATCTATGAGCTTGGCTTTTTGGGGTTTTTGTTTGTTTGTTTTTTAGATTCCACATATAAGTGGGATCATATGGAATTTGTCTTCTTCTGTCTGATTTATTTCACTTACCATAATGCCTTCAAAGTCCATCCATGTTGTAGCAAATGGCAGAATTTCCTCATTTTTTATGGCTAAAAAATATTCCATTGTGTGTCTGTATGTGTGTGTATATATATATATATATATATATATATATCACGTTTTACTTTATCCATTCATCTGTCAATAGATACTTACATTGTTTCCATATCTTGGCTATTGTAAATAATGCTGCAATGAACATGCGGGGGCGGGGGCCCGTGGATCATATATCTTTTCTTTTTTTGAGGAAGATTAGCCCTGAGCTAACTGCTGCCAATCCTCCTCTTTTTGCTGAGGAAGAGTGGCCCTGAGCTAACATCCATGCCCATCTTCCTCTACTTTCTATGTGGGACGCCTACCACAGCATGGCTTGCCAAGCAGAGCCATGTCCGCACCCGGAATCCGAACCAGTGAATCCCAGGCCACCGAAGCAGAATGTGTGCACTTAACCGCTATGCCACTGGGCTGGCCCAAAATATATCTTTTTGACTTAGTGTTTTTGTTTTCTTCAGATAAATACCCAGAAGTGAAATTGCTAGATCATGTGGCAGTTCTATTTTTAATTTTGGGGGACCCTCCATACTGTTTTCTATAGTGGCGGCACCAATTTATATTCCCACCAACAGTGCACAGGTTCTCTTTTCTCCACATCCTCTCCAACACTTATTTCTTGTCTTTTTGATAATAGCCATTCTAACAGGTGTGAGGCAATATCTCATTGTGGTTTTGATTTGTATTTCCCTGATGATTAGTGATGTTGAGCATCTTTTCATGTACCTGTTGGCCATCTGTATGTCTTCTTTGGAAAAATGTCTATTCAGATCCCCTGCCCATTTTTTAATTGGATTGTTTTTTTGCTGTTGAGTTCTATGAGTTCTTTATATATTTTGGATATTAACCCCTTATCAGATATATGATTTGCAAATATTTTCTCCCCTTCAGTAGGTTGTGTTGAGTTTCAAGATTTCTTTTTATATACTCTGGATACTAGTCCTTTATCAGATACAGATTTGCAAATATTTTCTTCAGTTCTATGGGTTGTCTTTTCACTTTTCGACAGTGTCCTTTCGAGCACAAAAGTTTTAAATTTTGATGAAGCCCATTTTATCTGTTTTTTCTTTGGTGACTTGTGCTTTTGGTGTCATATCTAAGAAACCATTGCCTAATCCAAAGTCACAAAGATTTACTCTGTGCTTTCTTCTAATAATTTTGTAGTTTTAGCTCTTATGTTTAGGACTTTGATCCATTTTGAGTTATATTTTCTGTAAGGTGTGAGGTGGGGATCCAACTTCATTCTTTTCCATGTGGATATCCAGTTGTTCCAGCACCTTTTTGGGGAAAGACTACTCTTTCACCTGGGAGATTTTAAAAAGAACACTTTCTTGGGCCTTGCCTCTTGGGATTCTGGTTTAGTAGGTCAAGGTTGGAACCTAAGAATTGTTTATGAAGCTCCACAGTGGTTTGGACTGGTGAAAAGGGCACCATGGAAATAGGAGTTTGTGTCTTCAGATTGGCTTTTACTGAAGTATAGAGCTTGTGGGCCACTGGACTCGGGTTTCATCCTCGTGTGTTTGGAGGTTCACACATCACATCTGTCTTGCTGGTTCTTCTCTTGCTCAGCCGATCTCACCCACTCTGCTTTTCCCTCCCACTGAGCCACAGGTGGGCTGCCTGAGGGTGAGAGGGGAGGGGCTGTGGGGGAGCAGCCTCTCCACCAAAGGTATTTCCATCTCAGTCTGGATTGAGTTGCCACTGAGTGACTGTTGTAGGACTCCCACAATTTACAGGTAGTCCTTTTCATTCTAAGTTGCTTTTCCATTTCTTATTACACCCTTATAAAAAGTTGTGTTGTAATTAAAGTTCACAGATGGACTTGTTTCTTTTCTTTTTGACATGCTTATTTGTCTGCCTCAACACAAACAAGAACAACTTACATCTTTTCAGACTTTAAAAAAAAATGTTTTCTTCATTACAGCCGCTAACCAGGGTTCAAATAGCCTAAATGGCAGACTCAGCCTGTCTCCTGGTGACCTAGGATGTTGAATTGAGTAGTATTTACGAAATTGTCAGGGGTAGAGATTTTTGGACCAGTTTTTCCCCAAGGGCCTTCCTGACCTCTAACCTCTGTTTGCACCTGTAAAGGACCAACTCTTAGCCACAGACCAGGATTTGTGAGTAGAGCAAGTCATGGGGACAGGAACCACATTTCCTGCTGAACCCTGTTTTTCCTGTTAGTGACAGGCTAACAGCAGTTCATACTGGCCCCACCCACCTTACTGTGGCTTCCATTTGCTACTTTACTCAGGTCTAAAATGCTTTTCTTCAGTATGAATCCACACCTTCTTTTACTTGAAAGGCTCAGCTCAGGGCCGGCCCAGTGGCATAGTGGTTAAGGTCGTATGCTCCGCTTTGGTGGCCTAGGGTTCGTGGGTTTGGATCCTAGGCACAGACCTGCATACCACTCATCAAACCATGCCGTGGTGGCATCCCACATACAAAGTGGAGGAAGACTGGCACAGATCTTATCTCAGGGACAACCTTCCTCAAGCAAAAAGAGGAAGGTTGACAAGAGATGTTAGCTCAGGGACGATCTTCCTCACCAAAAAATAAAAGCCCAGTTCAGCTACTGCTGCCTTCCTGCTCAAAATTACCATCTTTTCTCCAAATTCCTCCAGTGCTTTTCTCCAGCTTGTCCCAATATGTCACTGCTTTCTGTGTGATTGAGAGTGCATCATCTTCTGACCCTGGCTCTGTCTCCAGTTATCTGGGTGACTTTGGACAAGTCCACTTGCTCTCCACGTCTCAGTGTGTTCATATCTGTAAAATGAGGACATTGGAGTAGAGATCTGAGGTCCTGACACATTGTGGATGTCTCTTCATTTGGAAGGCAAATGCCACACAGGGGGAAGTACCTGGTGGAAAGAGCAGGAGCTGTGTAGTTCAAGAGACCAGTGTTTAATTTCTGGGCCCCTTTCTCGCCAGTTGTGTGAACTTGGGCAGATTCCTGTACCTCTCTGAGCCTCTGTTTCCCCAGCTATAAAGCAAGGGTAACTGACAGTATCTGTCACACAGGAATACTATGAGAATTGAATGAGAAGAGCGTGCCTCTAACGTGGTGCAGGGCTTGATAGACACCTTGTTAGGACTGGTTTCCTCTTCAGTCATCAGATGAAGCTTCAGATCATGTGTGAAAGAGCCAGAGTTACTTTCACTCAAAAGACCAGCAGCTGCTGGGGAGAAAGCAGGTTTTTCTCACTGTGTATTCCTGAGTGCTGGCATCCTGGGACCTCCTTTAGAACTGGGAGGAATATGAGGGGCCGGCCCAGTGACGCAGTGGTTAAGTGCGCACGTTCTGCTTCAGTGGCCTGGGGTCCGCTGGTTCAGATCCCGGGTGCGGACATGGCACTGCTCATCAAGCCATGCTGTGATAGGCGCCCCACATATAAAGTAGACGAAGATAGGCCTGGATGTTAGCTCAGGGCCAGTCTTCCTCAGCAAAAAGAGGAGGACTGACAGCAGATGTTAGCTCAGGGCTGATCTTCCTCAAAAAAAAACTATGAGGAATATGAACTCAGGCTTGGATGTTAGAGACATTTAATATGCTAGTGCAGCACTAGAAGGAAATATTTTATTTAAGTCTTTGTGTTTTTTTACAAGCGATGCGATGAACCATATAAAGAACCCTTATTGCTAAGAAGCTAATTTTGCTCTGCCTCTTATAGGCAAATCCTCTTCCCATCCCAGTCAAGAGACCAGAGATAGGGCTAGATTGAAAATATCAATATGAATGTATAATCTTTAAAAAATTACATGTGTATATCTTAAGGCTTACATATATTTCAGTAAAGTTTTATAATTTTCTTCATGTAAATTTTTTTTTTTTTTGAGGAAGACTGGCCCTGAGCTAACATCCATGCCCATCTTCCTCTACTTTATATGTAGGACTCTTGCCACAGCATGGCTTGACAAGAATGCATAGGTCTGCACCCAGGATCCAACCCGGAGAACCCCAGGCCACCAAAGCAGAACATGCGAACTTAACCACTACACCACCAGGCTGGCCCCCTTCATGTAAATCTTTCACATCTTTTTTATTAGATTTACTCTTTGAATGTTGTATTAGTTAGCTATTGCTGTGTAACAAATGACCCCCCCCCCAACTTAGTGGCTTAAAACAACAATCAACATTTGTTATTTCATACAACTTTTGTGAGTCAGGAATTTGGGAGGAACTTAGCCAGACATTTCTAACTCAGGGACTTATGAGGTTGCAGTCCATTGTGTCAGCGGGGGCCACACTCATCTGAAGGCTTGACTTGGGTAGAGGATCTGATTTCAGAATGGCTCACTCACATGGCTGACAGGTCAGTGCTGGCTGTGGCAGGAGGCCTCAGTGCCTCACAACTTAGATCTCTCCATAAGGCTATGAGTATTCGTCTTTATAGCATGGTAGCTGGCTTCCCCCAGAACAGACGATTCAGGAGAGCAAGGCAGAAGCCACGGTGTCTTTTATGACCTAGCCTCAGAAGTCACACTCCATCTGTGATCTCCTCAAGTCGGCCCTATTCAGTGTGGGAGCGGATTGCACAGAGGCATGAATTCCAGGAGGCAGGAATCACCATCTCAGAGGCTGGCTACCACAGATGCTGTTTTAAGTTATTTCCTTTTATTTCATTTTCTGGTTTTTGCTTTTGCAGTTGACTTCTTGTTTCTCTCTGTTGCAGTTGATGTTTGTATCCAGCAACCTTGCTAACGCTCATTATTCTAATTTGCCTGGGAATTCTTTAGGAATTTCTTAATGTAGACAGTCTTTTGCAAATAGTATTTCCTTTCCAATCCTCCATTGCTTTTATTTCTCTATCTTGACTTACTGTGCTGGCTAGAACTGACAATGTCACAGTCATCTGCAAATAATGACTTTGGTTTTTGCTTTTCAATCATTATTCCTTTTATTTCTTGTCTTACTGACCAGAACCTTCTGTATAATATTAAATAAAAGCAGTGACAGCAAGTACCCCTGTTTATTCCTGATTTTAAGGACATATATTTGCTGTAGGATTTTTGTAGATACCTTTTATGAATTTAAAAACTATATTTCTAAGTCCTAGTTTGCTAAAAGATTTTAAATCATTCAATAGATGTTGAATTCTCACAAATGCTTTTTCTGCATATATTGTCCTCATAATTATATTATTTTTCTCCTTTAATCTGTTATGAAATGAGTTCCATTAGTTTTCTGGTTTTGGTGAGTTTTTTTTTAATGTTAAAGCAACCTATATTCCTGAGTGCCAGCAGCCACTCTAGCACAGTTAAGCCCAGGGACAGCAGCATGTGGGGCTCAGGGTTCCCCTTTAAGCAGTGATTCCCACAGTAGGCTAGGTCCCAGCCAGGTAAGGGAGCTTTTCAGCAGACTGTACAGTCCCCTAATATATACCAGTTATAGCCACCGTATCCCAGCTGATGGAATGATTTGCGAGGACAGTGAAGAGTCTGTTATATAAAGATGAGACTGCACATCGTTGGCACACACAACAGTTCCCAACTTCTAGATTACCTCATGAATTGTGTATATGAGGAAAGGAAGGAGGCACATATCATCCAGCAATCCACAGCCAACATGGATGGGCAAAACCAGGAAGGCCCAAGTGGGCTGGTAGGAAGGAATCCACACTCACTTCCTTCACTGTTCCAAACTATGACCTCCATTGAAGCTTGATGTTAAAAGCAAAGGATTGTCCTCCAAAAGCCCATAATGCCCATAGGGAGAGTCTGAAGATTCGACCTCAGGTGGTTCATGCAAGTGGAGTTTGTAACCACAGTTCACACAGGAAACAACACTGAAGTCTTTGAAACAAAACTTTCAATTTCTTGTAAGCAGTATTACCAGCTCTCTTGAAAGAAGGAAGCCAGACATGGCTGATAGGTTTCCTGGGGGGAAATTTCACAATTCCACCTTCATCTTTACCCCATTTGAGCCTGTCACCTCGATAATTTCACCTCTGGTGACATTTCTTAAGATGAGATTCATTTTTGTGCCTCGACCTAATCAGACAGTCGGGCCTAGATTTTCTCTTTGCCAAACACAGCTGAAAATGGGTGCTCTGGGACATTCAAACCTAAACACCATGTGAAGCCTGATGTCTTTGATAGGGGCCTGGTACCTAGTAAACACTTAATAAATCCTCTTTGTCTTCTTTTTCCAAACAGATCCCGAATCAGCAAAGTGGAACTCTTTAGGTCCTTCCAGAAGCTGCTAAGCAGTATTTCAGAGGACAAGTGGCCAGATTCCCTCAGGTGATGCTATTGACCCATGTTTTTTCATATTTAGGAAGACTTTGGGTTTAATTCTGCTTAAGAATGGCAGGAAGCTTTGGCAGGAATGGTGTTTCAGTAAGCGAGGGGGCGTTTCTTACTGACCACATGCTCTTCTGTCCCACAGCCCCACTTGCATGTTGTGTATGATCTGAGATGTAGAGGATGGTACAGAGTCACAAGAGACTAGGGGTAGAATTGGGGCTTGCCCGTGCCAGGCCCTCCTTTTATTCCACCTCCAGACGGAGAACATTGTGGAAATGTGAGTGCTTCAGGAGCAATATATTCTGTTAAGAACATTACTGTCTTCTCTTTTTTCTTTTGTTCACATCAGTGATTGTGAACTGCAGCTCCACAATTTAAATCACTTCCACACGGGAATGTAGAGAACTATAAAACCACTCCTTGGGCAGGTGGGTGGTTGCAATTCAGGTGCAGAGTTGGGCCAAACTTCACAGGGTAAGAGCACAGTCCTACAAACTGCCCTCACTTCAGATGCCAGCCACAAGCTCAGGGGCCCCCAAGCCTCTCACACTTCTGATCAACTGACTACAAATTCGGGGGTTCCCCTTACTCCCTCAGGTTCGATAATGCCCTAAAACAAAACTCACAGAACCCAGGAAAGCCCTATACTTACACTTACTTTTTATTGTAAAGGGTACAAATCAGGACCAGCTAAAAGAAGGGACACATAGGGCAAGGTGTGGGAGGGTCCCAAACACAATGCTTCTGTGTCCTCAGGGTGTGTGACCCTCCCAGCACATCACTGTATCACCAACCAGAAAGCTGACCTGAGCTGCAGGGTCCAGGGTTTTCTATTGGGATTTCATTAATAAGCATGATTGATTGAATCCTTGGCCACATAACGTGGTTGAACTCGATCTCCATGTCCCCCTCCCCCCTAGGAAGTCAGACTGTTATCAGGAGGCTCAAAGCTTACAGCTCTCTAATCCTGTAGTTGGTCTTTCTGGCATGACCAACCCCACCCTGAAACTATCATTTTACCGTGAGTCACTTCATTGTGTGATCTGAGGGATCCACCATGAATAACAAAGACATTCCTATCACTTGGGAAATTCTAAGGGTTTAGAGGTTTCCTCCCAGGAACTGGCAACCAAGACTAGCCAAATTCTTTATTATACAACAGTGGGGAGCTAAGGAGGAACTGGCAGCTGCTGTGTGAAGAGGCTAGCCTTTGTTGCCACCATGATGCCTACTCAGTATTGATGCCCTCCAGTCATCTGTGGTCAGTTTGCTTGTTTCTTGTCCGGAAAAATGAATCAAACTGGAACTGGCTGGGTTTGCATCCATTCTATGTGTCAATAAAAACAAATCTGGACTCAGGTCAGGAGAGACTTTATTCAAAAGGATTATTGCAACAAGAGAAGGAGACTACTGCAATAGGAGGAGGAGTAATGTAGTTGGGAGAGGACTCCAATCGTAAGATCCGTAAGCCTCCCAAAGGGCAGACAGAAGGAGTTTTCTTTCACAGGGAGGGGTAAACAAGGCTAGGAAGAACCGGAACCAGGGTGTAGGGTGAGCAGGTGGTGTGATGGGACAGTTGAGTAGGAAATGTCTTTTCTTGGGGTCAGTCAGTTCTCCAGAGGGGCTGTTAAGAAGGCATTGTTACACATGAGCCAGGCTGGGGTGGGTCAGAGTTCAGGGGTCTGTGGGAAGGAGAGAAGCATAACTCATATGTTGCTGAGATAGGTCAGTGGGTGCAAACAGTTCAGCTAACCATTATGAGACCAAAACATGGGAATTTGGAGGGTGTGTGTCTGGCCTTGTCATAGGTAAACAAGGCGGGCATCCATGAGTCTAAGTCACAGAGAAGGGCCATTCTTTGCAGTCAGCTGTTCCCCAGAACACAGAAGAGTGGGAGGGTGATTTCTTAACCATAGCTGTTTTCTGGGAACACAGGGGTCAGGTAAAACTTAACATTGTCATTTGTGTGGATCCCACCTATTAACCATCAAAAAACTGTGGGAAATTGATGAGGCATTGTTTGCTACACTTAGCAACTTTGTTCCTGCTGAAGTGAGCTAAGAAACCGCTTGGTCTCTTCAGATCCTAGCAAAGAATGAAAGAGTAGAAGCGTGATAAAACTGGATCAATAAGACATGAGTCTCAGTTTCTTCAACTAAAAGATGGCAAGAACAGAGTTCAAGGTTGGGCCAAGTTGAGAAGAAAGCTCAGAGGAGCCTGACTCAAGTTTGGTCAAAGGAGAGAGTCTTTGTCACAAGAAAATCTTTTAACTGGATTTAAGTATTAAAAATATTACTCAGCATGTCAGCCATTCTTTAGCAGTCAGAGGCAGTTAAGCGATTTGGGAAGGGGTGTTGGCTGGTGGTACACAGGAGTGTAGTGTATGGTTAAGATGGAAAGCACCTTAGTTTACTGAGGAAAAATGCAGCTAAGTTTCTAATGGCTAGATCCTCTGGTGGAAATTATAGATGCTGAGAAAATTCAGGGGCTGGCCCCGTGGCCAAGCGGTTAAGTTTGTGCACTCCGCTTCAGCAGCCCGGGGTTTCACCTGTTCAGATCCTGGGTCTGACCTGGCACCACTCATCAGACCATGCTGAGGTGGCGTCCCACATAGCACAACCAGAAGGACCTACAACTAGAATATACAACTAGGCACTGGGAGGCTTTGGGGAGGAGAAGAAGAAAAGAAGATTGGCAACAGATGTTAGCTCAGGTGCCAATCTTTAAAAAAAAAAAATTCAAACCAAAAAGTAGATACAGTTATTCTTGTTTTATCTGATTCCGCCAGGATCAGACACAACTAGCATTCTGTTTATTCTTGCCCATTTTAATCCATGTTGCTTTCTAGTGAATTCTTTACAAAGGAGACAGAGTCGCTCTAGGAAAGTGTACCAGAATCCTCAGTTGCTACGTCTCTTGTATAAACCTATGCAGTGGATTTCTCAGGTGTCTTGTTGGCCACAGTGGTGAACTGTTCAGTGAGAACCTGTGTGCTTGGTGGTGTGTGTGCATTAGGGTGCGGAAGCTAGAGACATACCAAGAGTACAAGGAAGCTGCATCTGCTTACCAGGAAGCCTGGAGTGCACTCCGGAAGCAGGCATTTGGATCCTGGATCAGAAACCCACCGGATTATCACCAGTTTAAATGAGAAGAGAAAGTTTGCAGAGAACTTACTGGCAGCAGTGTGTTTTCAGCCCTTCATGCCAGACTGCCTTGCCTTCTTCCTTTGTGCTGGACAAGTCTTAGCTTTTCTTGTGGCTGAGTCAGGAAAAAGAGTCTGCCATCTACCAGAGCAACATATCTCTTCTATGTAAGATGGATGGAATTCCAAAACATGGAACAATCGATCTATAGTTGATTGAAGTAGCTCTCTGCTAAAATAGCATCTCACTAATGGCCCTGGTATCCATCCTAACTTGTGTTTTATTGCTTCTCTAAAGTATGGAATAAGAATTTGGAAGATAATGCTTTAAAAGTACTCTGCACAGGCCGGCCCGGTGGCGCAGTGGTTAAGTTCACATGTTCCACTTCGGTGGCCCGGGGTTCGCCAGTTCGGATCCCGGGTGCACACATGGCACCGCTTGGCAAAAGCCATGCTGTGGTAGGCGTCCCACATATAAAGTAGAGGAAGATGGGCACAGATGTTAGCTCAGGGCCAGTCTTCCTCAGCAAAAAGAGCAGGATTGGCAGCAGATGTTAGCTCAGGGCTAGTCTTCCTCAAAAAAAAAAAAAGAACTCTGCAGTAGCTCCATTTCATGTGTCCCTTCACTGATTCAGCAAATATTTATTGGGTTGAGGTGATGCTTGAATCTCTGCAAGTTTGAGAGCTTCACCTGGCGTATATATTTTGTATACCTAGCCTTTCTTCCTTCCAAGAGCCACTCTTTCCTGCTCTATCCAGGGAACTTGGTTAAAGTGAACCTTACTCCTTGGCTCCAGGAATGTGAGCCAGCCCTGGACAGTCCTGGAACTATCGCCAGAGCTATCAGGAAAGAGTCTCCTCTTGTATCAGGAGCAGTAAGGGCCACATAGTCTTGGGACTGCCTATGGCTGCCTTTGCCTACCGGATAAAGACAGCCAGCTGGAGAATGAAGGCAGTCAAGAAGGAAACAGCCAGAGAATCAGAGCTCTCGGGATCTTGTTTGGATGCCTGAAGCTAGTGCCCACCCTGGACTTCAGTTATGGGAGATCATTTCCTGTTGTTGTTCTGAGTAAGCCTGTTTGAGATGATTTTCTATGACTTTCAATGGAAAGAGTTCTGTCTAAATGGCCAAAACTCCCTGTAGCAAATCAGCAACAGACCTAGCAACCAATCCTGTTTTAGCCAACACCTAATATTTAACACTCAACCTCTTCACACCTTGAATTATTTCCTGAATATGGAAGCTCTCCATGTTCACATGACTCAAGGTCCCTGTTGATTCTTCTTCTTTTTTTTATAGCTTTAAATATTTTTCAATAGCAGCCTTATTGAGCTATAATTCACATACCATAGAATTCACCCATTTAAAGTATACAATTTAGTGGTTTTTAGTATATCCACAGAGTTGTGCAACTAGCACCACAATTTTAGAACATTTTTGTTCTAAATTTTGGGGGACACTGTTCAACCCAGTACAGTATCCATTAGGAGTCACTCCTCATTTCCCCTCAACTCCCCTAGGACAAGTGATAATCTACTTTCTGTCTCTGTGGATTTACCTATTCTGAACATTTCATATAATGGAATCATACAATATGTGGTTTTTGTGACTGGCTTCTTTCACTTAATGTTTAAGATTCATGATGTAATATGAATTGGTAGCATGAATCAGTACTTTATTCCTTTTTATGGAATAAAAATCACATTCAGTTGTATGAATATACCACGTTTTGTTTATCCAGTCGTCAGTTAATTGACATTTAGGTTGTTTCCATTTTTTGGCTATTGTGGATAGTGCTGCTATAAACATTCGTGTACAAGTTTGTGTGTAAACATATGTTCTTAAATTTTAATTACCAAAGTAATATATGTTTGTCATAACAAGTTATCCTTGAATTCTTTTTTTTTTTTTTTTGAGGAAGAATAGCCCTGAGCTAACTACTTCCAGTCCTCCTCTGTTTTTCTGAGGAAGCCTGGCCCTGAGCTAATATCCTTGCCCATCTTCCTCTACTTTATGTGTGGGACGCCTACCACAGCATGGCGTGCCAAGCGGTACCATGTCCGCACCTGGGATCCGAACCGGCAAACCCCGGGCCACTGAGAAGCAAAACGTGCAGACTTAACCGCTGCGCCACCAGGCCAGCCCAAGAAATCCTTTTAGATAGCAAGGAAGAAAGGCAAAAACACCGCTAACTGAAGGCCAGGCTTGCTGATTTTCTCCTTTAATCAGAGAGACCCTTTTTTTTTCATAATAGTTTACATCAATGTGAGATTTCAGTTGTACATTATTTCTTTACTATCACCACATAAGTGCTCCCCTTCACCTCCTGTGCCCACCCCCACCCCCCTTCCCCTGGTAACCGCTGAACTGTTTTCCTTGTCCATGTGTTTGTTCAATTCCACATATGACTGAAATCATCTGGTGTTTGTCTTTCTCTGACTGGCTTATTTCAATTAGCGTAATACCCCCCAGGTCCTTCCATGTTGTTGCAAATGGGATGGATTTGTCTTTTTTCTGGCTGAGTAGTATTCCATTGTATATGTATACCACATCTTCTTTATCCAATCATCAGTCCATGGGCACTTGGATTGTTTCCATGTCTTGGCTATTGTGAATAGTGCTGCAGTGAACATAGGGGTGCATGTGTTACTTTGTGTCGTTGATTTCAAGTTGTTTGGGTAGATACCCAGTAGTGGGATTGCTGGGTCATATGGTATTTCTATTTTTAGTTTTTTGAGGAATCTCTGTACTGTTTTCCATAGTGACTGCACCAGTTTGCATTCCCACCAGCGGTGTATGAGGATTTCCTCTTGTCCACACCCTCTCCAACATTTGTTATTTTTAACAGGCGTAATGTGGTATCTTAGTGTAGTTTTGATTTGCATTAGTGAGACCCTTTTGCCTGACCCCAAATCCCACAATATGACAGCACTTAGGACACCTCAACTGACAGGAGCTTTTATCCGCAGAAGATCATGCATCTCTCTCTCTCTCATGAGATTCTATTTTAAAGGCTAAAGATTTATATTTTCTGGTAAGTTTGTCAAACCTACACAAAAAAAGCTAAATGTAAAAAACACCCCTAAATTTTGTCTTCAGAACAGAGATTGGGAAAACCCTAAAAACTGGAGATGAAAGGCAGCTTCACCTGGGGCTCTGCCTTTTTTTCTCAAAAGCTGAAAGTGGTGCTTAAACATCCAACTTCCTACGTTTTACTTTAATCTCTTAAAACCAACGTTTAGAATCTCACCTATGCCTTAGAAGCACATCTCTGCCAAATTGGTAGGTTCTCAGATTTCACGCATCTAATCAGATCTTGTGTTTTTACTAATGTTTCTTAACCCGTATTTGACTGAAAACTGCATCTAATTTGTAAATATATCTCTTTTTTTTTAACTGGATAGTTTTACATAGAAAAGCACAGTGGACCCCCATGTGCCCATCACCCAGACTTAACAACCCTCAGCTTTATGCTGCTGTTATCTGCTTTATTCCCCTCCCATTCTTTTTCCTGGGAGCATCTCAAAGCAAATCCTAACCATCATGTTTCACCCAACAAAATTAACAGTAATTCCTTAATATCTAATATGCAGTCCGTGTTCTGTTTCCCCATTGTCTCAACAATGTCTTTTGACTATTGATTTCTTCAAATTAGGATCCAAACAAAGTCCACACAGTGCTTTTGATTGATTTGTCTTTTGTCCTACCAAATCTGTAACAGTTCACTCTCCTTTCTATGTGTTTAACAAATGGGTCATTTGTCCTCTAGAATCTCCCCCATCCTGGATTTGGCTGCTGATTTCCTCTAGTGTTGATACAGATTCCTCTGTCTCCCATATGTCCTATAAATGTGCAGTTACATGGAGAGGCTTGATTAGATTCAGGTTCAGTTCATCTGGCATGAATACTTCTTAGGATGCAACAGAAGTAAGCAGAATCACCTATCAAGAAAGTGACATCTGGCTGTCCCACTCTCAGTGATTGAGCAGTGGGTTCAGTGCTGTCAGCCTGCTCTATCCCGTTATGAAGCTCCCATCACCCTTTCACCTGATGTTGTTAGCGGCTGTGTTGGAGGTCCCCAAGACCACCCTCAGGTTCGATGATTCACTAGATGGACTCACAGAACTCAGAAAGGCTGTTATATTCATAGTTACCATTTGTTACAGTGAAAGCAAACAGATTAAAGTGAGCAAAGGGCACAGCTGTGTGAGTGAAGCTCAGGAGAGAGCAGGCACAAGCTTCTAGTTGTCCCCTCTGCATTAACCATGTGTTCTGATGCTTCGACATCTGGGGCCTTGCTGACCCTGCAGAAACTGCCCCTCCCAGGGTCAGCCAGTTCCTAGAGACAGTAAAAGCCTCATCTGTGAGTGCACCTTTTATATGCAAAGCACCAATCCAGAGCCCCTACGCCAGCCACCTCCTCTGTCGGGCTCTCACACTCTGGGCCACTGTCCACCTGCCCTAATCACCCCACAGCCAGGCACCAGACACTAGGGACAGCCACTGTGCCTCAGAGCCCACTGAAATTAGTCGAACTTGCCAATTCCACGCCTGCCTACCCTGCCTCGCCCCTTCCTTCCCTTTCACAGTAACAGCTCTTGCCCACATTTCCCCCTCACTCCCCCTGCCTCCTGACCAACCCTGGTGGTTTCTTGTGGCACATGTGGCTTCTTGCCCAGCGTGCCCTGTCCTCCTACATTTTAAAACATTCTCCCAGTGGAGTCCTGCATACAGCACTTAATTCTCCCAGTAACACTGTGTGACAAAATGTGCAAAATGTTGCCGATCAGGGAAGCTCACCTGAGCCCGGGATGCTAACACCCTTCGATGCACAGGATGACCTCCTGTAACAGAATTGTCTGGCCCAAAATGTCAAGAGTGCTGAGGTTGAGAAACCCGGATCTAGGGACTGTGAGCGTTTCAGAGTCACGTGAAATAGTTCCTCTCCAATTGTTGCTCCAAATCTATAACAGTTAATTTTGTTTCATTTTACTTACCATTTTTAGGAGGGATTTTTAAAGAATTATATAAAATATTTATGTGATTCTAAGGTTAAAACTATTTTTAAAAAAGAAAAAAGGTACATTCATAGAGGTCTTCCACCCTCGTCTCCCCCCACCCCCCGTTTTTTCCTTCTCACAGCAGAAACTATTTTTATTAGTTGTTGGTGGGCATTTCATTCTTTGCTTTTGAAATGCTCTGTGAATAGCT